TGGGATTTGGTGGTGACCTGGGGTTGGGTAGGGAGATGTTAAATTGAAGAAAAAAGACTGGATTCAAGCCCCAGCTGTGGGACAACTTCGGTGAGTCACAGCCCAGAAATGTAGTGTCAGAGTGAAGCCAGAGGGGAAAATATTTATAACTGCCGGAAACATGATGAACCTGTCAAAAATACATGAAATCAGCTAAATAAATTGGGAAGAAAAAGGCAAGGTCTTATTTGGTTTTCTGTGAGTGTAAACATTTTAAAAAATCATCAGGAAGGAGAAAAATAATTCCTCTATACACAACTGCCTTGTGTGAGTGATGTTTTGGGGAAATCAAGGGAAAGTGGCTGTGTTCCCTTGAACTAAAGCAGAGTAAAGAGAAGGCATCAGCCATAGGAGGCGATTGAGAGAGAGATAATTAGATCAAAGCAGAGATAACCATGGGATGTGAGCCCCTCAAGAATCCTCAGAGATCTGGGGCAATGCTGGCTTCTCAATGAAGATGGGGCAGCGAAGTGATGTTCTGATTAATATATACGAACAGGAAAGACGAGTCCTTAGGATAGGAGGACATGTACCCAGGCCATTGCTGTCGGGTTAAGCAGGGCCTCTCTGCCTGTCCAGGTTCTGGGATTGAGAAACTAGATTTCCCCTAGGGAACCAGGGGCCTGGGTGGATGCAATCCAGAGGAAAGTTAGATTAAACAGGAACTGTTTCCATTGCAGTAAACACGAGGGTCCAGAAAGAATCTTGTCTTGTGGGCAGCCAGAGGAAAGGGAATTGAGACATGATTAAGAAAGAAGGGCTGTTAACACCTGGGGATAGGATTCAGCCGGCATCCTTAGTTGCCCAAACTGGAGGTCACTGAGTCTGGGGAGGCATTGGAGTCACTGGGGGAGGGGATGTGACCATCCGTGACAAGTCCTATAGGTAGCTAAGGAGACTGGACTTTGCCTGGAGGCGATGGGCCCAGGGCAGGAGCTTCAGGAACCACCTCCATCAGCAGGAGGAAGGGGCGGCAGGGAATAGATCAGAAAGTGGAAGGCCAGCCAGGAGGTGGCCGCATAGCCCTATGGGCATAAGGAAGGCGACCTCCTCACATATCCTCAGTCATATCATCCTGATGGTGCCCCAGGAGGCTGGTCTGAGGGTGTCCCCACCTACCACTTACCACAGGATGGCCCTGAGACCAAGATGGCCAAGAGAGCACATCTCTTCAATGGATTAATAGTGACTGCCTGAAGCACTGTCCTGAACTCGGGCAGCTTCAGGGACCAGGCAGAAAAAGAGCCACCATCGATTAGAGATGTCTGAGGAGGGGCATGAGGGTGGGGCAGCGTTCATTCATTCATTCATCCACACACCTTCAATAAATGTTTATTCAGCACCTACTGCATGCCAGGTGCAGGTGCTATGAAGCTCTCCTCTTTGCAGGAGCACAGTTCTCAAAGGCTCAGCCACAGAAAGAGCAAAAAGCCCCCAGCCTGGGCTCCACTCTGCTCTGGACTTTCTCCCTTTGAGCCTCTTTGAAGCCTTGGCAAAGGCCTGTGCCCGAGTCTCTCAGGGTCTTGAATAAATTAGCTGCTTGGTAGTTATTTGCGGAAGGAAGAAAATACATGCGTGACTTACCATATTTTTCATTTTTATCCATTCATTCAACAAAGAAACCAATATATACATTTTGCAAGGCCTTTTCAAGGATTTGGAGATGTATTTGACCTAATCTTTGCCCTCTAGGAATTCATAGCGCCATGTGGAGATTAGACACATGCCCGCATAGCCGTAAAACAAAGTCGTTATTTATGAATCCAAGTTCCTTGGAGTGCCTGGCTTCAGGGAGGCAGACGTAGCTTGTCTGGGGTCCAGGGGACCAGAGGGGACCCGTGAGAAGGTGAGGACCCTGGGGCAAAGGGCCAAGCCAGCCGCCCCCTCCTCTCCACCCCTCGCCTAGGCAGGGTCTCCTCCATGCCTTCCTGTCGTCCTGGAGCCTGAAAACAGAGAGCAGCTGTGCAGGTGGCAGAGAGACAGAGGGAGAATGGCAACACAAATCCGCTGAAGGAAACACGATGGAGATGTCTGAGTCTTGCTTTGAGAAGGCCAGGCTATTTGTCAGCCGGGCTGCTGGCAACAGTCCCTTTTAGCCCCGGAAGCAGTGTGGAAGGTGGGAGGCAAGTGCAACCCCTGCTCCAGGCCCCTAGCAGGCCTGCCCTGGCTGCCTTACAGTACGGCTCAGCCTAATTAGCGGTACCCAGGTCTCTGCCCTGTATCTCGGGCACAAAGGAGCCCTGTCTGCACCTCAGCTCCCTACACGGTCCCTGCTCACGGCTCTGCTACCCAGTTCCCAGCCCCTGAGACCTGCCGGCTCCTGCCTCTCTCACTGGCTTGGAAGGAAGGGGAGATGGGTGGGAGGGATCAGGAAAAGAAATAGGACAGCACAGGACAAGGTGAGGTGGAGGGGGGCGGGGGAAGGAGGAGGTCCAGGACAGCGCAGTGGGCCATGGGGCCGGGAGGAAGGACAGTGTGGGGTGACAGAATCCACCGGGGCCCTGGCCACGCTGTGAGACCAAAAAGGGGCCCAGGGACGCATGGAAGGCCCTCCCCAGAAGTCACACCTCTCTACTGGCATTGTCCGAGGCCGAACTGGGAAGCAGCGGGCAGCCCGTGTGCTCGGAGTTTTTGAGGAGTCTTGGAAGGCTCAGCCTTGAGCTGGGGAGATCTCCGACTCGCAGAGCCATTCTTTGCGGTTTTGTCCTTTGGAGAGCAGGAAGCAAGCATGCTGCAGGAACCAGGCATGCACCAGAGGTGCAGACACGTGTGTACACACGTGGCCTCCAACATGGATACCCTCCCTCTGTGGCTGGTGTCTGATGAGCCATGCCCGGCACGTGGAGCCAGGACCCAGAGCAAACAACGGAGCACAGAGGGTGTGTGTGCAAACAAATCTGCAGGGGCCCTGTGACCACACCCTCGGCTGCACCAGGACAGGCGCTGTCAAGGCCCCATGAGGGTGGTTCTTCATAACTTTTCGTTTGGTGAGGGCCCTCTTGCATGGTTGTTTACACAAACTGTTGAGAAGGCTGCCGACGAAATCTGAATCCATGTGAAATGGATTTCCCTTCCCTGGGAATGTACACAGTGGGTATCTGGGTGTGCCTATGCACACAAGAAGGAGTGTGTGTGTGTACCTGTGTGTGCACAAGAACACAAGCTGCTGTACTGGGAGAGAAGCTGAAAAAGGAAAGAAAAGCGTGGACTTTCAATCACTCATATACACACATACCTGTGTGCGTACGTTCATGCCGTGGTCTGACGGTATCACAATTATTAGCTTGTCTATTTGTATACGCGCGTGCGTGCGCACACACACACACACACACACACACACATATCCCTGTACATTTTTGGCACAGCTTGTATCCCATATCAGTGATTCTAAATCACTTGTCAGAGATCTCAGCCCACTTCAACCAGTAGCTCTCAACCTTGCCTGCACATTGGAATCACTTGGGGAGCTTTTAAAAATCCCAAATGCCCAGACCACACTCCAGATCAATATAGCAGAATTTCTAGAGATGGAACTTTGGTATTAATACTTTATGTCCGTATTTTAAAATCTCCTCGGGTGATTCCAATGTCTTTCGAGGGCTGAATACTTCTCTGCATATAAAGTCCTTCTTCCTTTCCTCTGCTCAGAAAACTTCTATTCATCCTTCATGACCCAACCCACATAGCTCCTTTCTAGGATAGCCCTTCATGATACCTCCCCAGGGAGAGTTACCTTTTTCTTTCCCGAAACTTCCAACAACACCTTAGTCATCCAACTGTATCACAGTTATTTGCTTGCCTATCTGTCCGTCCCACCTTCTGTTCGGAACTCTGAGCTCCATGAAGACACTGCGTGGGCTCCATCTCTCTACTCCTGATACCCAGCTCAGAGTCTGCCGTGCAGCGGACGATCAACAGGTGCTTCGGAATGGAAGGGAAGTCCGCAATGAAGGCCTTGAGCAGGAGAGGGGTGGGGAGTAGAGGCCAGTATTGTTTCTGGGTAGAAAGGCCACGGGTCTGCTCCCTTGTCAGCAGGATGGGGGTATCTCCCCAAACCGTTAGTAACAGGGTCCTCTTCTGTCAACAAGTTTGATGCAGGTTGGTCCACATTTCCTGCTTCCCTAGGAAATGCCACCAGTGTTACTCAGAGGCTCAGAGGGACACAAGAGTGAGTCTGTCATCTGTGCCTAGAGGCCTGGGGTGACTGTGACCACCTCCCCCCGCTCCCCACTCCAAGCCCACTCTACCTGGCCTGTTTCCAGGGCACTGTTGCTCTGAGGAGCTCCATGAGCAGCCTGTGGCCCCTGCTTCTGCCCCAGATCCAGGACCAGCCCACACAGCTCGGTCCTTGGCCAGAGCCATGTCTGGAAAACACTGGTGCAAGAGGAGGTGCAGACACTGCAGCCCCAGCCCAGGAGCCCGGGAGTAGACAAGAGAGGGTGACACTGGGCGGAACCATGGGACAGGTGTGTATTCTGCAAGGGCACAGCCTCCTTCCCTCATCACCTCCCCTCTCCTGGGGCAGCCCTGCCCCTCCTACACAGCCCTCTGGCCTGACAGTCCTTTCCTTGTCCTCTTATTAACCCTCCTCCAACCCCACTGAACCATTATTGCCCCATCTTAGGCCAAGGCCACACAAAGACTTCGGGCACGAGCTGGCCTATGGGGCTGGAGTGGCGCTAAGAGCACAGGCAGTGGAGTGAGGCCGCCCTGATGTGAGAACTCTTTCTGTCACTGCCTGGCCCTGTCTCCTCCCCGCCTCAGGTTCCTCATCTGTACAATGGGATTAAAAATTCAGTCCCCACCTTATAAACTCACAGTCTGGAGTGAACGAGGCACGAAGCCGAGAACGCTCCTCACATGTTCCTGACCTGGCCTCCTGGTCACTAGTCCAGGCCGAGGCCATGGCGAGGGCCCCACTCCCTTACACACACACACACAGCTCACTTCCCGAAGGGTTCTCAACCTCTCCCTCCCCCCACAACCCTCTCCAACTGACCGGCCAAAGTCCTGGTAGCCCACAGAGTCCATCAACACAAGCAAGTGTTTTCTTTACACGTTGGGGCTTTTACTTCAATTTGAAGCAGATGGTTGAGCACAGACGTGAACAGCTTTGGCCTTGTGCACAAGGAAGGAACAGGCCTTGACTTTGAACATGCCCGCCTCCCCACATACTGGCCCATTCCCCTGGTCCCTTCCTCCCCCTGCCCCCCTGCACAACCATCACAGCCCGCCAGCCCCCAGGCAGGGCGCCATCTTGTGTGCCCAGTCAGGAGGGCGGGCCCCTGGCAAGGAGTGGCTGGCTGGACCGGCTGGGGGTCAGCTTGGGGCAAGTCCCTGGGGTGAGGTACGGGTGGTCAGTATTGCCCCCCACCCTCCCATTCACTTCTCACGATGCTTAGGGCCCAAGAAGGAGCCTGGGCCCAGGGAACATGGGAAAATCAGGGTCAGAGGCCTGGGCAGCCAGAGGGAAGGAGAGGGGGGCCAGGATCTCAGATCTCACCCCACAGGCGACCCCAGCCTCCCTGTCACAGCCTCCCTATCACAGATAAGACAGAAGGCTTATCTGCGTCCAGCCAGCTCGGGGCCCAGCTGTAGAAAGGGAGTTCCGGGTCAGAGGGTCAAAGCGCTTCCAACAGTCACCAAACGTCCATCCTTTCCACGAGTTCCTAGTGGAACTGCTGACTCGTCTTTGGCGTGAGATGGGACCCGGGCAACAGGAGGAGTAAACATCACAGAGCAACAGTGTGGCTTTTCACTATGGGGTCTTCTCACCCCATTTTGTTCAGTGTCTCTGTCGAATCTTTGGCAATGAATTTCTGCAGCCAGACGGTGGGCCTCAGGCCCGGGCAAGGGGAAGGCTTTGCTCTCCCCGTCCCACCAGGCAGAGAGCAAAGTGCAAAGTCACTGTGGAGTGGTTGCGGGGTGGGGCGGGGGAGAGGGCGAGAGGGGAGCAGGCAAGCTTCTGTCCTGAGAGGTGGCGGTCTGAGCATCCGGTGGCAACTTAGAGAGGACGACAAGGCTGGACTTGGCGAGCTCACCTTCTCCTCAAGCTTGACTGGAAAGAGGGCCCACAGCAGCGTCCTTGGACAAGCCCATGGCCGGTCACTCCTGAAAGAAACAACCAATGGGAGGAGAGGAATAAACTAGGAGGTTGGGATTAACATATACACACTACTGTATCTAAAATAGATAATCAACAAGGACCTACTGTAGAGCACTGGGAACTCTACTCAATGCTCTGTCATAGCCTATATGGGAAAAGAATCTGAAAAAAAATAGATATCTGTATATATCTATATATAAAACTGAATCACTTTGCTGTACACCTGAAACTAACACAACATTATAAATCAAATATACTCCAATATAAAAAAATAAACTAAAAAAATTAAGAAACGGCAGCTAAGACCCGGCACAGCCAAATAAATAAATAAATGTTTTTTAAAACTAAAAATAAACAAACAAAAAATAAAATAAATAAGCTAAAAGGATATATTGTATAGCACAGGCATTATAGCCAATATTTTACACTAACTTTAAGTGGAATATAATCTATAAAAATTTTGAATCCCTATATTATATACCTGAAACTAATATAATATTGTAAATCAACCATACCTCAATAAACAAGCAAACAAACAAAAAGAAGGGCTTCCCCCGTGGCGTAGTGGTTACGGATCCGCCTGCCAACGCAGAGGACACGGGTTCGAGCCCTGGTCCCGGAAGATCCCACATGCCGCGGAGCAACTAAGCCCGTGCGCCACAACTACTGAAGCCCACAAGCCTAGAGCCCACGAGCCACAGCTACTGAAGCCCATGTGCCTAGAGCCCGGGCTCCGCAACAAGAGAAGCCACCGCAATGAGAATCCACAAGAGACACCACCGCAATGAGAAGCCCGCGCACCGCAAGGAAGAGTAGCCCCCGCCCGCCACAACTAGAGAAAGCCCGTGCGCAGCAACAAAGACCCAACGCAGCCAAAAATAAAAATTAAATAAATAAAAATTTTTTAAAAGCCAAGAGACAAACAAACGAAAAACAACCAATGGTCAGAAGTAGCCCCTACTGGTCCTGACTCCAGAAGGCCGACCTGTACCAGGTGCTGGCACCCATGGCACCTCCTGTTACTCGATCCTCGCAGCTGCCCGGGGAGGGGCTCAGGAGGGACTCTTATGGCCCAGGCAGGGACTGAATCTTGAAAGGTTCGGTAAGGGATGGAGCCAGCATCTGGACCCAGGACTGGCTGCTGCCAGAGCCCACATCGTTCCCTTACTCCCCACCCCTACCTTGCTGCATTTCAGAGCCACTGCTGATTTTGCTGGTTTGGGGGATGGGCGGGGTTGTAGAGGAAGCTCAGGGACCCCTGGTCCTGATACCACAGTCCCCCAGGTCACGCCTCTGAGGGATATCAGAGTCAGCCCCGTCCCCCCACGGGAATGGCATCCTTACCTCCTTCTCCCTACACCAGGGGTCCCCAGCCCCCGGGACCCCTGTACCGGTCTGCGGCCTGTTAGGAACCAGGCTGCGCAGCAGGAGGCGCTGCCCGTCGCTCCCATCACCGCCTGAACCCTCCCCTCCCCCACGGCCCGTGGAAAAACCGTCTTCCGCGAAACCGGGCCCTGGTGCCAGAAAGGTTGGGGACCGCTGCCCTACACCCTTCAGACAAGACACTACACCGGCAGCCAAGAGGCTGACTCTAGGTGCAGTCCATGCCCCCGCCAGCTGGGCCTCAGTGCTCTCATCTATAAAATGACAGTGTCTTCATCTATAAGAGGACAGAGTCCTCAGCTGTAGTAGAAATGAAGTCTGACCTGGGAATTCGAACCCAGAAAACAGATGAACACGGTTCTAGTCTATTTGGATCGGGAGACTACAGGGGACACAGAGAGAGGGGAGCCCAGAGTCTACAGTCTGCCTTCCAATGTGGAGCCTGGGATGGCTGTGAGAACCCAGGTGCTCTGGGGCAAACTGGGAAACCCCTAGGTTAGACGGTCTTTCAGTCCCTAGCAGTCCTTCACACTGGCAGCTGAACTTGGTGTTGCTCATGAGAAAACTGACCAGAGGGCGTGATTTGCTACAGGCAGGGACAGGAGATGCAAAAAGGTCCTGGGGCTGCCGGGCTTTAGCTTGGGGGGAGGTCAGAGCTGGTGGGGAGGCTCTTCAGGGGCTCCCAGTCCACCCAGAAGACGCAGGAGAATAACAGCCATCCGCTAACTGGGCACAGCACACCCCTAATACCGCAGTTCCAAATCCTTCTCTCCCGTTTCCTGCCACAACCCTGAACAAACAGCTAAGCACTTATTTTTGAAGCAAAACATCTGTCAGGCACCTCTGACATGCCAGGGAGCTTCTCACGTCCCCAGCTCAGAGGTAAGTGCTACGAGTTGGCAGCACCACGATTTGAATCCAGATCGGCAGTGTTTATTCTACCACAAAGAGCCTGCTCCTGCTGAAAGGGAGGCTCGGGGAGCCGGGCTGCAGCCAAACCACGAGGCTGGAGGGGCTGCTAACCACAGGCCCTAGTGAGCCTCAGGCCTGGGCGGCGCTGGGCAGGCAGCCAAGGTGCGAGGCCGGGGCAAGGCTGGAAGTGGGGTCCAGGGAGGGCGAGGGAGCCCAGCCAGGAGGAGGGAGTGTCCTCCAGCTAACAGAGGCTAAGAAGGGGAAAAGGAAAAGTGAGAGGAGGTAGCATCTTGATGTGGTGAATCCAGGCTCACATTCTCCGAGCCCATGGTGCGTGGCTGGCCCCAGCAGGAATCTGCTTTTTGTTACCGAGTCTGAGGAGGATTAAGAAGCGGAAAGGAAACCCGTGGGGATGGCACTGGGTCTGTGGTCCACGGGGTGATTTACAGCCGCGTCATCCCGGCGCTGGCTGCCTGGGCGGGCCCTGCCGAGGACTGGCCCGGAGTTCCTCCCTTGTTCAGTCTGCCTGCGGTCAGGGAAGGCACGGAAGGCTGGGGCAGCTGAAGCCATCCCACTGGCTGCCCTGTAAAGGCGGCCGCCTGGCCGGGCCCAGCCCCAAGCCCTCAGTCGGCTCTCAGACTCTACTGAAGCCATGGCTACCACCCAAGAGCAAGGGAGACAGGGGTTTCTCTCGCCAAGGCCCGACCTCCAATTCTCAACCCCACCCTTTCCCTAACGTCTACACTGGACCTGCGTTCCCACCACCCACCTTGGTCCAGGAATGCCAGCGCATGCATCATCCATCCAAGGAAGCCTTATGTCAACTGGAGCGTGGTGGGAAGAACACTGGGAGGCCTTAGGTGCCACGAGCTTTTTTTTTTTTTTTTTTTGCAATTAACCAACTGTGTGACCTTGGGGAACTGACTCTCCCTCTCTGTGCTTTAATTCCTTCACCTGTACGGCAAGTGCATGTACATGGATTAGCAGTCCCCAAAGGGTGCTCTTCAGAACACTAGCCAGGTGAGGTATATCCCATGAGTTTGGGAAACATCACAGACCCTGGCCCGACTTTGGAAAGTCACCGTGTATATGAACATATTAAAGTCTCTGAAAAGTCCTACAGTAAAGAAATTCGTGTGGCTTTACTTACCCAGTGTTTTCCCAACCCATTTGATTGTGTGACTGCAACTGCATTGTGAGCAGTAGAAACTCACTCTACTCTTCCCGTTATTTAAGGCTGCACAAGGGCATTTCAGAGGGGCCGGGGGAAAGTCTCAGGAAAGCTTGTTGAACCTCAGTAGGGGCAATCTATGGCCCTTCCCTCCAGGTACCTGCCAACATCACTCAGCCACTTCCAGGCTCTGCTTCTTTCTTGCCTGTCTGCCCATTGGCCCAATCTCTCAGCATCCCAACCCCGAAGACCCAGTGAAGGCAGTCAGTTGGTCCAGCCTCAGTCAGATTCCTTCCCCTAGATCAATCTGGTGTGGCTGAGAGACAGGAGACAAACCTACCTATGCCATCCCTTCAGAAGAGGTGGGGTATGTGTGTGTGTGCGCGCGCGCGCGTGTACGTAGTGTGGACGTGTATGTGTGTGTGCACGCACACATGCAAGCATAACTGCAAATACAGGGAACAGGGCTGGACATACTCCCCACTGTGACAACCACACCACAGACCCCCTTCTCATGTAACTCCTGGCAACATCCTGCTTGGGTCCACGTGAGAAGCACAGCTTGAAAGGGCCTCTTGCGTCCCCTCTGGCTCTGGCCTTCTGTGGGCGGTGTTTCCACTGCGGCCAAGGCTCTGATTATGGCTGGGTAAGGCTCTCACCGTCCTGAGGAGCCCCCTGCAGCATGACCCCTCCACACGAAAGATGCCCTTTAAACACAGGTCTTGCTGCCCACTAATACAAACTTTAAAAATGACTAGACAAGATGCCTCCCAGGTCCCTTCCAGCAGGTCTGAAGTGCTGAGTCCGACTGAAGTGATTTGGTCAGGGTGACAAAGTGTCTGGGTTTATCACATTCAGAAATCATCTTTTTTTCTTTTTTGGCCACAGCATGGCATTCAGGATCTTAGCTCCCCAACCAGGGATCAAACCGTGCCCTCGGCAGTGAAAGTGCAGAGTCCTAACCACTGGACCGCCAGGGAATTCCCAGAAATCATCTTTTTATCTGCTCACTCATTTGTGGTCAGAATGTCAGCTCCACAATGGCAGGGACATGGTCGTTTTGTTCGCTGCTATAGCCCCAGAGCCTAGAACAGTCTGGACACACAGTAGCATCTCAATAAATATTTGTTATTTGTTGGACGTGTGAATATTTCCAGTTACCAGGCATTTTATTTACTGTAGCATTTAAGTACCACCAGATACGTTTCCTATTTCAAATGTAACACTGAGCATTTTTGTAACTGTGCCTATGTTTTAGGGGAACTTTTGGTAATTGTTGTGAACCCAGGAACAATGTTGTATCTGTCTGTTTTTGTTCACTTCCAGTTTTTAAATTTCTAATTATACCTCCTCTGCTTACTAAGTTTGTCCCTGGCTTTAAGTGGATTGGTTTCCTCTCCTCATCACTTCTGTGTGCTTCAGGGTAATTTTATCACTTTGGGGGCATTTTAAAAAAATGATTATTTCTGCCTATAAGTTATTTTACCTTTTAAGTTCATTTTCAGTCACTTCACCTATTTAACCTTTTTGTTTGTTTGT